CTCATCTCTACAATAAATCAAAAAATCAGTCGGGTGTGGTAGCGCATGCCTGTACTTCTGGCTACTTGGAAGGCTGAGGCGGAAGGCTCGCCGGAGCCCAGCAGGTCGGGGCTGCGGTGGCCGGGAGCGGCCACTGCACTCCAGTCTGGGCGACAGAGTGAGACTCCAACTCAAAAAAAAAAAAAAAGTGTTGTCTTTGGAGGCTGGACAATTAACCTTCAGAAGCCATCAAGTAGTCTGTCTGTCTCTCTCTTCCTCTCCCCCCCATGTGGTTTTCTTATTCCACAGTATTTGGAAGCTGTAATAATTTCGTGGCCATATAATAGTTCAGAACCTTATTGACAATCAAGCTGTGTGTGTGTGTGTGTGTGTGTGTGTGTGTGTGTGTGTGTGTGTGTGTATGTGCGAGCACGCATGCACACACACTAGCAGTCGTGCGCCTGTGTGCCTAATTAGAGCTTTGTGAAGATAGATGTTCTGTGATAGGGACAAAGACAAAATTTCCCCTCTGGGAACACAGGGTAACAGCAGACCCTGCTTCCTGCCTCTTGAAGGATCCAAAAGTTTCAGTCACTACAGTTTACCACAAAGAGGGGGAAATGGCCCCATGTCTGTAGCTCACTTCTCATTATTTACTAGGAACTGGGTGCAATGAAATTAGGAGCCAGATGCAGTAATGAGCTGAACTTCTCCATGAGAGTCTCATTGTTCAGATAAAATGTCCAGCACAGTTTGTCAGGTCACTAGGAAGTAATGGGGATATTGCAACAAGCCTGTTTTAGAAAAACCCCTCTCATAGATACCGTGAATCACCACTGTCTACCACATTGGAGACTTCTGTGAGTGACATTATATGAAAGTTAGTAGCCTTTTGACAAAAATGTCACATTTCGTGTTAAAACATTTGGGAATTAAAATAATGGAGCAAAAAAAAAAAAACCAACACTGTCTTATTTAATAAGTACATACTTGGGTTTTTTTTTAAGAGCATTAAAATGAAAAGAAAATTGCCTAGCTGTGTGACCTTGGGCTGTTCATTCAACCTCCCTACGTGTCTGAGTCTGAGTTGGAGCCCATAGCCCTGGGGGCATGTGTAAGGTGAAATATTAGAACCTTTATTTATTTTTATTTTTTTAGATACAGGGTCTTGTTCTGTTGCACAGGTTGGAGTGCAGTGGCTTGATCGTAGCTCACTGTAGCCTCCAACTCCTGGGCTCAAACCATTCCCCCGCCTCAGCCTCTTAAGTAGCTAGGACTACAAGTATGTGCCACCATGTCTGGCTTTTTTTTTTTTTTTTTTTTTTGTAGAGATGGGGTCTCACTATGTTGCCCAGGCTGGTCTTCAGCCATGCCAGCTGGTCCTTTACTTACATTCTTCCATCTAAAATGTAAGGAAAAATATTAAACTTTAGCAATTGATGTATGGATTGACAGGGTACAAGTATACAACTTATAAATGTACAAATTTGGAGGTGCATGCTCAAAAATGCTTCACTGTTATTGGCATGTGATCAAAAAAGTATGGAGATTACTGACTTATGACATTCGAAGACTAAGCTAGATTCAGTGTTTTCTCAAACTGCGGATTACAACCTGCTGATGGGTTGTGCAATCAATTTAGTGAATTTTTAAAGAGCGAAATAAATGAAAACATATCAATGTGCATTGTTCATTCTAAGAACTATGTATTGTCTGGGAAACTTTACAGATGAACACTGGGTTCTGAAGTAAAATGTACCTCCTACTGTATTATAGTTTGTTTTTTTAGAAAGTAGAATTTATTAAGAAGACAGAAAGACTCCTATAGGGAGAAGGGACTTGAAAGAGGTCGTCGGTTATAGTTTTTTTAAAAAGTTGAAAGCTTCTGGGGTAGAGAAGTGGTTCTCAAAGTGTAGTCCTCAGACCATCAG